ATTTCCCCATTTTCCCTCTCTCTCCTATTCGACTCTCTGAAAAACCTAACACTCAACCCAGCCAAAATCCTCCCAAATTTCACCAAAATAACTCACCCAAACACAAACCCACACCATTTTTCGGTCCATTTCTCTAAGATTCGTGCATAGTCATACAAAATGGTGAGGACTACAAGAGTTGTAAAGAAAGCAAGGGGGCAGGCAGCAGGCACGTCTGGAAGGCGTCGTAGGGCTGAGCAAAGTCCTGAGGACAGTGGTGAAAGCACAGACACGGAGCAGATATTTCAACCCGATCACCCTCGAAACTTTGTATCTAGAAATGCTATAGAAGCCTATAATAAATTAGGAAATAAGAAAGTCGTTTATGGTTTTAGAGTAGTTTTAGATGATATATGCAAAGGGGGGCTACATATTAGAGAAATGTTAGATGCAATGGGGTGGACTAAATTAGTAAGTAGAAAGGTGAAGGTTTACCCGCAGTTGATAAAGATTTTTTATGCAAATTTGAGTGATTCGAAGGATGGAGGGTATAGAACAACAGTCCTTAAGAAAATTTTTGAATTTGATGCTGAAACTATAAATAATGTTTTACATTTACCAAATGAGGGAGCCATCGAATTGAATGCATTTACAGAGGAATCGGCAAAGAAATTTATCATGGGGGATGAGTACAATGAGGGACAAACATTAACCATTCACCACTTGAAGTTGGAGAATCGGTTAATGTTTTGGATTTACAATCACATAATTTTACCAAGGCAAGGTTCTTTTGGGAAATTTAGGATTGTGTGTGGTTTGCATATATCCTTGATTAGAGGCGGATCAATTTAGGACACCATATTATGAGACAAATGGTGTATTATAGGAGTAGATCGACACTCACACTAGTGTATGGCACTCTCATCACATTACTTATGGAAAATGCGAGTGTTGATTTGCGTGGAATGGAGTCCCGAGACCTACACAGTCACGAGCTTTTGAATGAGAGTTCACTGAGCAAAATGAGGTATGTATTCAGTGCAAGAACAAATTCATGGGAAATGAAGCAGAAAAGGAGAAGAGGATGACAAGATGATGAAGGTGAGGGGTTTGATGATGAAGAACATGCCGAAGAAACTAAAGAAGCAGGTCCCTCACAAGCTACTTCATCTCGAGTTCCTCAGAGATTAACCACACAGAGAGGAATGCAACTCATTCTCGAGAGACTTGCACGGATTGAAGCAAAGCTCGATGATCACATTCACGACTGTCAGATGGCAGCACCTATAGGTCCTCGAGGGACAAGAAGAGATCCGTCTAGTACTGGCACATCCTCCGGACAGCAACCCGCTAATCCCTTTTCAAATCCGGAAGCATAAATCCTCCCGTTGCAATTGTTGATGGCTGTTAAATTATCATTTTAATGTTTGAACAATCTTTTGAAAGTTTTCTTAATGTATTGACTTTTTATATTTTTGAATATATACATATAATATTGACATTAGATGCAGTTTAATTGAATATAGATTTTAACATCAATGAGCATAGCATAATTGTGATGATTTGTATTGGTTGATTATGTTCTTGATGTGCTTCCATTGATGGCAAGCAAGTTGGTAGTCCATAGTGTGCTTGAATGGTAATTTGTGGATGTGGTTTTAAAGTTTGATATGCATGTGGTTTTAATGATTCAATAGTATTTTTTACATAGTTGATGTTCATGAAAAAAAAAGGAAACGCAAACAGCAAATTCTGGGAAATTAAATAGCAGAAATGGACTGAAGAGTCGAATATAGGCCTATATTCGACTCTTCAGGCATATGAGAGTCGACTATCAAGCAAGAAGAGTCGACTCCCATTTTCCAGTAAGCAGCAAATGCATTTTGCTACAGCCTATAGTCGACTCTCCATTATAGAGTCGACTCTTTTGGGTTCAAAATCGACTCTATAATACGAAGAGTCGACTACTAAATTCCAGTAGGCGGGAAGTTAATTTGCTGCTGCATATAGTCGACTCTTTATCATAGAGTCGACTCTTTTGGAGTCAGAGTCGACTCTATCATATGAAGAGTCGACTACCAAATTTCAGTATGCTGGAATGTAATTTGCTACTGCATATAGTTGACTCTCCATCATAGAGTCGACTCTAAATCAAAAGAATCAATTTTACGATGTAGAGAGTCGAATACCAAATCCCATCACCATATTTTTTTCCCTTCAAATAGTCGACTCTCTATGTTGAGAGTCAATTCTTAGTCCTTTACAGTCGGCTCTACTATGTAAGATTGGACTCTTGAACTATGTGGTTCACAAAGTTAACGAATTTCATGCAAATTTTTAATAATTAACATGAGAAATACTTAGAAATCATTAATAAAGATTGTAATGTCAAAATATATAAAATAATCACAAGAAAACAAGAGAAATTGGACAAAAAATTGAAAAAAAAAATTGCAGAACGTAAGTAAGATAATTATATTATGGTTCTTGGATAGATCGTAATTTTTGAACAGTAGCATCCCAATACTTTTTTTCAATTGTAAGACGCCTACCATTACCAAAAATCTTTGTAATAGTTTCGGAGGACTCAGTAGGGGTTTTGGGTGGATTTGGCAAAGATGGTGACCGGCAAGGATTTGAGCAAATTTTTGCAATATGACCCTCACGGTTACATAGTTGACAAGTTACAGCATATCGGTGCGGGCAAACTGTAGCTAAATGTCCAAGAGTATCACATATTTGACAAACAGAGTAGTTTACAGTATTAGGCAATAGAATATGTTGGTCAGTTGATATATTATTCTTTACTTTTTTCAACTTCCTCTTGGACAGACTTTCAGATGGGCAATTCCATAATGATTCAGGAGTATCCTCAACGATTCTTGTGTAAAATAATATAAAGTTAAGTAATATGATAATAAAAGGGGTGCACAAACAAGAAATGAGAAATAAGGGAAGGGAAAAAAAATTATACCATTATATTGACTGTCAAAATAATCTTGACTTTCCAATTGATTGTCAAAATAATCTTGACTTTCCAATTGATTGTCAAAATAATCTTGACTTTCCAATTGGTTGTCAAAATATTCTTGACTTTCCAATTGGTTGTCAAAATATTCTTGACTTTCCAATTGATTATCAAAATATTTTTGACTCTCCATTAAGCAACAGAAAAATAGAGTTTTAAAATTTATAAAAATTATTACTTTTAAATCATAATATAAAAATAAATTGCAAGAGTAAGGGAGAAATAACAAGAAATTGAGAAGTGTGAGAGGTGTGTATATATTGTCAATGAAAAGTGTATATATAATGGGTGAGCTAGGTGTATAAATGGGGAGCTACCAGTCAAAGGATTTTCAGCAACATGGTTATTGTTGCTGAAATTCACTTTCAGCAATAAGAACCATGTTGCTGAAAGTGGTGTGGATGGTGAGTGACCGGAAAATGCTAGCTAATAATTATGTTGGTGAGATTTACTTTCAGCAACATACCCCTTGTTGCTGAAAGTGCAAGTGGTGGTACTTCCCCCCTTGCAGACGGCTTGTGTATATATATATATAGATTTGGCCAAGCACCGATCAATGAATATCAGCAACATGTTCCTTGTTGCTGATGTTTAGTTGGTAAAAAAATAAGAATAACAACAACAAGATATATGTTGCTAATACTTAAGGTTTTCAACAACATAGCTCTTGTTGCTGAAATTCACTTTCAGCAACAAGGAACATGTTGCTGAAAAGTATAGCTCAATTTAAGTGGGAGGGGGCTCACCGGAAAATATCAACAACATGGAGTATGTTGCTGAAGCAACAAGAAGTACATTGCTAAAAGTGGGGAGGCTTTTGGAAGATGAGATGTACGGAATAACTTTCAGCAAGAAGCTCTATGTTGCTGATACATATTTTCAGCAACAAACCAAACCATGTTGCTGATATATTGTTGCTAAAAACCAAAATTTTAGTAGTGTTAGATACCAGAGAAATGACAGAGAAGACACAAAAGACACAAGAACTAGTTTTTCTTCTTCTTTTTTTTTTTTTTTGTTTTATAAAATTCAGTGTTTTAAATAATAATAAATAATTAAATTGTTAAAATAAATAATTGATTGTATAAATTATATTTGGGTTGTTGAAATAGCTCATTATTATTGGATCTTTTTTTATTTTATGTATTTTAATAATTAAAAATATAATATTTAAAATTTTAATAATAATAATTAATAAATTAATTATATATAAATTTTTTTTTTCAAATCTCAGGGGAGGCCACCGCCCCCACTGGTCTCCATGTGCCTCCGCCACGGCCTCAAAGACTCCTCAAGTACTGCAGGGCAATGTATACTGTAGCTACCCCAGTAAAGTCCATGCACAGTCCAGTTCTGTTTCGAGAAGAAATGCAAGAAAAGTGATTCAGTAGTAGCAATAAAAATAGTACGAAAAATGATATTCATCTTTCTGATACATAGAATTTAGGATTTAGAGATTAAATCTTAAACTTACGGTTAAGACTTAAGATTATAGATACTTTTACTATCAAATTATATAACTGTTGGCAAAAAAAAATAAATTATATTCATAACATGTAATAGATGGTGGACCATGCTTGACTCCTTTAATTATTAAAGTTATATGTTGGACTCTTATGCATTGCGTCCTGGAAATTGCTTCTCAGCTGCCCATGGATTCTGCTACTTGGAGTTTAGTCAACTTTACCCCTTGATTCCCAGGAAGTTTATCCTCTGGGGTTTGTTTGGCCCTCAGCACAGTCCTGGGACAAGCAGACAGCACTGAGGGAAGAGCTTGAGCACTTTGACTGATATTCCTTATACAGATTCTTGGCAGAAGGTTTTAATGTGAATGGGGAAACTGTTAGAAATCTAAGAAAAGAGAGAAATATTTGAAGAAAAGTTTATTATTGTCTTATTTTCATTGTATCATCAAAGGACTTATATAATGATTTATATACAATATAATATTTTTAAGTATAAAATCAATTAATTTAAATGTATACAATCAATTACAATGTAAATGTACGAATGTAATGTGAATATTAATATTCTAACATTAAAGCTAATATTGCTAATATTCTAATAAAAATGAATCAAAAGGAAGTTTTCATAGCAGACACTTATCAAGTTAACGTGGAATGCTGCAACTTACCACATTTGGATGGAAAGAAATAGAAAGATCAACCAACAGTTATTCAAATCAGATGAAGCAATAAGTGCAGATGTGCAGTTTGATGTCAGGCGGAAAATTTTGGGTTTTGCTAGGCCTAAATCCTTTTCTTTACCTATGTATCTCTTGCTTTCAAGTGGGGGATTGAATTTGTTATGCAATATAGAAATTTTCTTAATTATTTATGAAAAAAAAACATTGACTATAATTTTTTCAATCATTTAATTAAAAATCTTCATGTGGCATTCAATTAAAAATGAAATTATTTTACAAGGTTAAAGCATATTAGTCCCTCTTGGTTCCTAAAAAAATTAAAGTCATAACTTATATTTAAAAATTAAAATCTCAATTCAAAATTCAAAAATCCACACCTATTAAATGTTGATACCTAAATTTAGAAACGATTATATATTCTAAAATAATCAATTTTCAAATTTAAATATCAATATTTAATAAGATGTATTTTAAAATCCTCAATTGAGTTTTAATTAAATAAAACAATGTAATTTAATGTTGGAACTCTAACTTATTTTAGGAGTGTGGATTAATATGTATTTTTTCCTTATTTTATTTTTTTATGAGTTTTTCTAACTCATGCCTTAAGAATATAATAAATATACTTTTTATTTCATAATTATGTTAAAAAAATAAAAGTTGACTTTCAATTTATCAATTCTCCAATTAAATTTATATATTTAGCAACAATATTAAAATTAATGGCAACTTTTACTTATATATATATATATATATATGATAAAAATGTGATTTTAACTTGTGCCAAAAAACATTTTTTATATAAATTAATAAAAAAAGTACAATAAATGCACATTTAACCAAGACTTTGTTTGTAAACACTTCTCACATATCTTTTTTACACATATTTTATTTAAAAATATAAAATTATTATTTTTAATTGATTTTAATAAATTTTTATATATTTTTACTAATTTTAATTAATATTTTATATTTGTAGGGATGGTAAAAGAATAAAAAGAAAAAACCCTACTATTACATTACAATGCTAATAAAAATCAACTTATACCTCAATGGAGTGACTCAACTAATTAAGAAGTTGAGATTCTACATTAGTGATTTCAAATTTGAATTTTAAATTGAATAAAAAGGAATTTAAGAAAAATAAAAGACTATCACTTTTTATATAATTTATCATTAAATATATATAAAAAAAACAGTACAACACTAATAAAAAAAGACTAAAGACATATATTAAGATGCACCCTTTAATTATAACTTGTTATGAAAGTTGAATAATATCTCTGTAATGAAATTCTTATATTATTTTATAAATAAATAGCAGTTAATAGTTTCAATATCTAAATTACACCTTTATTGTACAATATACCCTAAAAAACACTCTTACACAATATTATTAAGGTTATGTTTGCTACAATTGATAGGAAGTCTTTTTTAATTCCAAAAGTTACAGCTGTACCAAATACTACAATTTGTGAAAAATACTACAACTTCTCACAAATTAGTCTTTTACCTATTTCACTGAAATGTTAGAAGCACCAAATTAATGCTTCTACAAGAGCTTCTCATTTAAATTTTAATAAAATTAACATATTATTTTTATTTTATCTTTATTTTTTATTTACAAAAATAATACTTTTACAATAATTTCTTTCCAACAAAACTTCTATTAAAAGCTGTAACCACGACAAACAAAAGTGGCACTAAAAGAGAAATGCTAACTGCGCCGTGCTAAACATTTGCCAAGTGCAGCTTCCACTCAAGTGGTGATTGCCCCGACTGCATTTTTTTTTTTAAATAAAATTAAAAATTAAAAAAAAAAAAAAAATTGGAGGGAACCCATAAAAGCAGGAGTGCTTGTGCCCCGAGTGCACATAACATTTCTCTAGATAGAACTAAAATATTATATCAAACCAAACATGAGATAATGGTGAAGAAAATGCGTCAAAGACTTCTAAGATTCTTCGTTTATGAATAAAAGTGGTAAGCTATTAGGTTCTTTGAGACTTTTCACTACTTTCTGAAAAAAAGAGAGGCAAAGTTCAATCAAAGGAAGAGAAAAAATGGAAAGACACCAAAAAACATATCCGCTACCATTGCCTGGTGACAAGTGAACAAAACAGATTCTCTCAAACAGAACTACAAAAAGTTCAAGTCCAATTGAAGTGACAAAAACACCAACAAAAATTAATGTTAAGGCAGCACAGGTTGGAATGTAGAAGATTATATTACAACAAATTGTCCCACCATGAGGAAAGATCAATGCCAAAAAAACAAAAAAACAGTCCAAACTGAAAACTTCAAGTGCTGAATTCAAACCAGTTTAGGCTACAAACTACAAAGCTTGTGCAAAATTTGTTAACATCACCTAAGATAATGCGCATTGGCATCTTAAGACTCAAATATAAAATGTAAATTCACTTTTTGCACCATAGCTTGAGATCTCTTTACATCTAAATTTGCATTAGACTATAGCAGCATCTCAGCTATCTGAACAGCATTAAGGGCAGCTCCTTTACGAACTTGATCACCACAGACAAAGATGTCCAACCTGTTTTTGAATAATCAGTTAATTGCAGGGAAACATTTAAAGGACAAGGGATAAAGTACGTGGAAAAAAAATATTTGGTAAGTCAAATTAAGCCTGATTTCCCTTGGAGTTGGAGGATTAAGGAAGATGCGGAAGTTGAGAAACTGTTTGAAAGATCATGTGCAGGTGATAATTGGCTGCCAGGTGGGAGTCTTTTTGACAAGATGTACTCTAAAGAGGACAGTCATATTTAGGATGGTAACACTGGTGGCTGACCTGGTACAATGGAACCTCACAAACTCTAGTATTTTCTCTATCTAAAGTCTTTGTAATGCTATTCAAAATAAGCATGATAAAGTAGCTAGCTTGGTCCAGATTTGTTTGGACTGGTAATGTAGTGGCTCGGCACAGAATTTTTTGTTTTGTTATTGTTACTTGTTTGGACTGGTAATGTAGTGGCCAGGCACAGATTTTTGTTTGGCTGTTGATGCATGATAGACTGAAGACAAGGCATTTGCTCAGACATAGAGGTATGAATGTGGCTGCTAATTGCATTTTTCTGCTTGCAAGAGGAGGAAACTAGTCAGCATATAGTCTTTGCTTGCCCTTTTGGAAATCTGGTATGGAAATCCATCCTATTGCATGTACAAGTGCAAAGAAGACCTAAGCCTCAAAATAAGGAGGTACTATGGTTGGTTAGAGTATGCAGGGGAAGAAATATCAGAGCAAGGAGAGTGCAGCAAGCCTTGACCCCCACAGTTTATATGATTTGGCAGGAAAGAAATTTGAGTATTTCAGCAGACATCATGTGACCCAGAGAGACTTAGTGGCTATATCATTCAGTTGCTAGAGGTGCTATTTTAACCCTACTAGAATCTTTTTTGGACTATTATAAATTTTAACCCAGCCTAGGAATGGCTGGGTATAGTTGTATATACCCCTAGCGGGAAGTGTTGTAGTTATGTTGCTAACTGTTCTCTAAAATTAAACTATATGGAAAAAAAATAAGTTGTACCCATGATTTCCATCTTGAGACAAGTCACGACGGATCCTGCCAACTGCAACGCCATCTTTGTTTGATACCTCCAATGGTGTAGGGAAATGATTGGAAGATCGGTCATCAATAACCACTATTCCAGGAGCATTTTTCAGAATTTCTCGAGCTGTGTCCTGGTCAAACAACAAAAATATCAAATTAACAGTTAAATTTTGGATTAAATTACTCAGAACTCAAAGAGTGCTTCTACAACAGGGAAACCATGAAACTATGTCAGCTCAATGATACTGGGCATGATTGAGAATACACTTCAGGAGCAGGCAGACATAGTATCCCAGAAAGACTAAACTGGAGCAATTTTCTGTGTCCCCTGAAGTTTTAATATCTAAATTGAAAGATGAAAATGTTTCAAATTCATAGTCTGACCAAATATTACCTCATCAAGGGGCTTCTCAAACTGAAGATTCACACTCTCAGCATGTGCTCGCATGACAGGAACTCGAATGCAGGTGGCAGTCACCTTAACATCCATGTCATTCTGAGAAAATGGGAAGAATGACTCATAGTAAGACTAAACAAACCTAAATTGTAACTCATACAACTAGACAAGGAAAATCTATAAATGAAAAAGCATATGTTTTGTAGTATTAAGAAAAACACTCTCAGTACTTACCCAGATTTTTCTGGTTTCTTTGACCATTTTCATTTCTTCTTCATTATAACCATTCTCCAGAACAGGAGCATTGTGTGAAAACAAATTAAAAGCATACTGTAAAGGCAAACAGTATTAGTAGGCAACTCCAGAAACCTTTGCAGGACACTAAGATATTGTTGCTGGCAGATGTATGAGCATTTTACAATAGACATAAATACCTGTTGCTTGAAAATGTTACATGTTGGAGGTTTCCCTTCCAGAACCTTAGAAACGGAAAGAGTGAATGGTCAATTTCCAAGGGACCGATGTCAAAGACTCAGGCATACAAGTTAACTGTAAAAAGACACAAAGAAGGAATAAATTGAAAAAACCTCACGGGTCTGCAGCTCCAGCTCATGCATTGCAGCAGCACCAGCACCACTAGCTGCCTGATATGTACTAACTACCATTCGTTTTACCTGCAACATGCAATGAGCAGAATCAGTGTTTCAAACAAAAATGTTAGAGGCAAACCTTCTATATTTAAGTTGCTCCAGGCACTTTTCAAATGTTGAGGAGCACTGGATATGACATTAAACTTATATTAGGTTCTATGTCACGCTGAAACATTAGGATCTACTCAACAATTATGAAAATTCACTAAATTCACTTGAAATTAGTGGGTAATCACTTGAAATGGCTGCATTATCTTACCTTAGCATGCCGATGAAGAGGAGTTGCAGCCATCAAGCAAATAATGGTGGAACAATTGGGGTTGGCAATCAGTGCGCCTCTTCCCATGCCAACTTTAATCCCCTCCATGGCATCTGGGTTCACCTCAGGAATCACCAGAGGCACTCCCTCCACCATGCGGAAAGCCGAGCTATTGTCTACCACGATTGCGCCTTTTTCCACCGCAATAGGCCCGAACTCCTTGCTAATGGACCCGCCAGCGCTGAAAAGAGCGATGTCGATGCCGTTGAAGCTGTCAGCAGTAAGTTCTTCAACGGTGAAGGAGTGGTTCTGGAAGGAAACTGACTTGCCAGCAGAGCGCTTTGAGGCTAGGAGCTTGATGGAGCGGAAGGGGAAGTCACGGTCGGAGAGGACGGAAAGGAACTCTTGACCAACGGCACCTGTGACGCCGACTACGGCAAGAGAAGGGCCTGTTTCTTGAAGGGACATGCGGACCCTGGTGGAGGAGAGCCTGAGAGGTTTGGATTTAGGGGTGGGGAGTCTTGAGAAACAGTTGGAGTGAAGGTGGTGAGACTGAGACAGGGCGGCCATTGTTTCTCGGGGAGGAGGTGGCGGCTGCCGACGTTGTTTTCTAACTTTCAAAAATAAAAGATCTCTAACATTAACCAATACCTAAACTCAGTCACCCGGTTCAGTTTTAGTTTACCATTTTGCCCCTCCCTTCTATATTAATTTGAATGAAGTTGTTGGGTGAACTAAACATTTTATAACCATTGGTAAAGATAAACCATTGGTAAAGATAAACCACTTAAGTATCCAAAGAATTATTATTATTATTTTTTTTAAATAAATTCATAAGAAGTTGAATTCAAACTGTTATATTAAGAAAAAAAAATGTACTTATATGTGTCCTAATGTTACTAGACTAACAACATAAGTGCAAAAAACTTATTATTTATTAATAGTTATAGGACGTGGAATCTGCATGAAACGAGGTATCAGATTTCTAAATTAGAATTGTCTACGTTTACATTTTTTGTTGGTACATTGTGCCATCCGAATGGATCTTGGCTTACACACACCTACAAGGTCAGTAGTTAGGCAACTGATTATGGTATGCTGGCAGGTGGACTATCAAAGGTATGAATTCCTTGCTCCAAGTGGTAGAATTGAGAGGCCAAGTGATCTGTAGCAGAGTTTTTGGTACAAAGGGGGAATATATTAAAGTCAAATATAGCACAAGTACAGTATGGTATAGGTAAACGAGTTCACATCATATCCGCATAATAATACAAGGGAAGCTCCGGAGGACAAAAATTCAGAAACAACAAAATCCACAGGTTGGGAAATCCACAGGTTGGGAATGGGTCCATAACGGTAGGACAATCTATACACCGGTTAGCTTTCTCTGTACACATGTTGAATAGTGATCTGAAGAATTCTAGACAGTATCTTCCTGGAATCCAGAATAAGGGAGCGAAAGGGATGATGAGGCGAAACAGAAGATAATAACTAGGTGGCCACTGGCGAGTCCATTTCAATAATTAAGTTTTGAATATTCATTTGGTAAGCCAAAAGAAGACCTTCACGGAACTCTAGCTAGAAGTGTTCCCAATTTTGCAAACAAACCCATGGACCCATCTTCCCAAATGATCCCGAATGACCCCGCCAGCCTAAGCAGGACCTAGGTTTCCGAGTGCAGACCCATCCGTGTGGAATTTGAAGTAACCTAATGGGGGCTTCCACCAACACACCAGTCTAGACTCCGTGTGAATGTTACGAGAAGGAGTGGGTGAAGACAAGTAAAATTCATAGACTCGTTTGCGAAAGATTGAGGCAGTATGATTTGGAACAAAATCATTAGAAGAATATAATTTTTTTGTTCCTTTGTAGTCAAATGTTCCTGAGAATGAAGCTAAAAACGGTGCCCCAAGGAATGGGAATAGTAGGGCACTTATCCTTAATAGTACAGTTATCTCTTATCTGCTCAAAAAAGGGAGCACCAGAGCTAACATTCCCTTGGGGAAAGAAAGTAAGCCACACAATGGAAAAGAAAGAGCATTCTCTATAGAGATGAACACAAGATTTCGTTGTACCAAGATACAAAGGGCACACATCCGAATCCACAATGTTCAATCTGGAGAGAAACTCCAGGGTCTTTAGACGTTCGTAACGTAAGAGCCAAATGAAACTTTGGATTTTAAGGAGAGTGTGGATCCTCCATATCCATTTCCAATCCCCCTTTGGGTTCAGATCAAGGCCTTTGGCCATAAGATATGCAAATTTCAGGGAGAAGGAACCATCAGGAGTACCCTTACAGGAATAGGAGTCCTGACCAACACCCACTTCAGAAATAAGAGTAGCTTTGCTGGTCTCCAATAGTTTGCTCGGAGTAGGGTAGGAAATAAGAGAGGGATCAAACGACGACAGGGGGAAAGCACCGCAATCTGTAAGTCATCATCTTCATTAGACAGGGGGCCAAGAAGAATATAACTAAAAGAAAAGTCCTTCCAAAAGGAAATATCACGGCCATCCGTAGGAATCCATCTAATGCCCTGCAAAGAAAGATCATCACCTTTATTGAGATTTTTTATGACAAAGGAACCATAAGATGGAAGGGTAGATGGCCGGAACTCGATGTTATACTTCCCGGATGAAACACAATTCCATAGCTTATCTCTTTCAGAGAATAATCTCCAATTAAGCTTAGCCATGGCAGCCATATTAGCTTCTTTAGCACTCTTGATCCCAAGACCCCCCAAGGATTTTAGAAGAGACACCTTATCCCAATTAATCATGTGAAGCCTCTGGTGCTCAGGATCCGATCCCAGAGAAAATCCCTTAAAATCTTATCAAGATCCAAGAGGATAGAGGAATCTGTAGCAGAGTTAGCTTCTTTGTGAATGTGTTAAGTAAACAATCCCGATCCCTGGCTATTCATCAAATCAATGCATTTCCTTGATATCCAGTTGTAAGGGCCAGCCTCAATATCTTGTTGTTGCACATTTTGCCAAACAAGCTGGTAGTCTTTTTCCATCAACATCTTTCTAGTGATGAGGCCACTGAATTGCAATTACATATCGAGTTACTGCCTCTAAACTAAGCTAGTTTCTAAATTTGTTAATCTATCGATTTGATTATGCAATTTTGATATTAGTGTTTATCAATCAAACTTAGAAAAAATTAGGTAAAAAAAATTTTGAAACTTCATTATTTTAATAAACCACCATGAAAAGAAATAAAACAATCACATTTATAATTTAAAAATTATGATACAACATAGTTTAAAGTTATTTTCTTACCTAATTTTTTTACATATTTATCTAGTAAATATTTTTTTCATATATTCTTAGGTCAACTAAATATAACACAACTGTTCATATAACCACTACTCTTTATTATTTTTTTCTTAAAATATTACTTTTTATTTCAAGAATTCCTCTCTTTAATTCGAATTTATTCGGACTTATTGCACTAATAGGAATAGAACCCTATCAAAATTTACCATGTGTTTCTTTGTTTTTTTCTCATCTTCATATTTCTTTTTGTTAAAGAAAAACTAATTCATTTGCACCTGTCCTTGACCAAGTAACATATCACCATCTCCATCTATTAGAAACTGTAGAAATTTGTTGGGGCTCAATGCAAATTAGTATTAGAAATTAATTTTACATAAAAAATATTATAATTAAACTTCTATGCAAAAATTTTGATGGATGTTATAAAATAAAGAAAAGAAAGTAGCAAAAATAACAATGCTTTTGTAGTGAACTTCTTCTCATTTCACACTCTACCATTATATAAACTTTTAAACTTACCTACAAATAAAACTTAGAGGGTAAATAAATAGAACTAAGTGAATATTTAAATGGAAATAATTGGTTACTTAAATGAATTGAGTGGATTATTGAATAAAAGTGGGTGAACAACAGAAGATGAGAAGATGGAAAGAAGATATAAGGTAAAATATCCATTAACCAACATAGTTCATAATAACTGCCTCTTAGTAAATACTTAAATGAATTGAGTTGATTATTGAATAAAGAGGGTGGGAGATAAAAGATGAGAAAATGGAAAGGGGACATTAGGTTAATACCTATTAACCAATGTAGTTTTCCTTAGATGTTCACCTTTATACACTTATTATTATTATTATTATTATTATTATTATTATTATTATTATTTTGATCAACAGAAAATTCATACGTTAACTAAAAAGGTAAATTATTACATCCCACATAGGTCTTTACGCAAGTAAAGAACACTAAACAGAAGGAAATTGGAACAAAAACTAGAAACACTACAACTAAAGGTAGCCGGTAACTCCATTGTAGTCCACAAAAAATGATGGGGGCTTTAACTTTGTGGAGTCGCACATCTTCCTCTCAAGATAACTGGCATTTAGCTTTCACTCTTCAACCTTATGCTCAACACAAGGTTAGTCAAGGCAAGTATAAATCCAAGGATTTGTGAGGGATTGCTACATTGATATGCTAATCCACATCACCAAAGACCATAGAAAACTTGCAACACAATCTGCAATCTTGGGAAGCAAAAGCCAGTATATTCCTTGCATAATATAAGCACAAATGAAACAACCTCTAATGAACCATCCAAGTACACAATTGAAGTAGACGAAAACCTCCTACTTATGTTTGAGGCAGACTGCAACCCAAAGCAATACACCAAGAATAGCTAGCCTAGTAGCTTCCCAAGTGATACCATCCATTAATAAACCAGAATAAGCAAGACAATTTTTTTTTTGCCATATTAAAACAAAGAGAAACAAACTAGGATAGTTTGAGTCTGAAAGTATACCTTTGTGAAGCCTTAAAGGAGCCAAGGGGAACCCAATCCTTTGGTCCCTAAAAACTCAAAGTGTCATGGTGCCCCTGTGAATGTTATGGGCAACCACCAACCCTTGCAGCAGAGCAGTTTTTGTTCCCAAGGACTAAAATATCTTCACTAAATATTGGGATCTCCAGAGGAGCACCTTCATTAAGTACCAAATCAATTTTCTTTATCTTCTTCCTAATTTTCATCACGGTAACCATTTTGGGATCACATAGGCATATTGAACTAGGCTCTTCCCCTTCATAAATATAATTGGATTCTCACATAAATACCACACATACCCAGCAAATTCTTAATAGAAATAAGGTAAATAGACATCATTAATGACAAATCGACTAATCAAGCACAAAATTAGTAACTAGGCTATCAACATTCAAGTTCTTGAGAAATGCAAATTCAATCTATATATTCTTGCCACCAATAGCAGAACCTAAATGTCCTTCCAAACATGCCATGGTAACTATTGATTTGCTCATCATAATGTCAAAGTTAGCACCAAATTGATTAAATAAAATTTGATCGCTAATTGAT